TCTCTATGCCCCTCTACAGTAGTTGTAATGAAGGGTGTGTGTGTGTGTGTGTGTGTGTATAATTTTAAAAGGCATCTTTATTTATTATACCTATTTATTCCTAATACAAACCAGCTCAGCAATGTTTGTGGGCTTTAGTATTCTTGTTGGGTACTGGGGATGTGCAGGCAATAGAACAAGATCACAGGATTGGGGACAGAGATGGTTCCTACATAATGACTATTGTTATATTGTAATATAACTATTGTTTATTGAGCAGTCTGTGCACAGGCTCTGTGCTAAGTGTTTTCCATGTGTTACTTAATCGTTACAACAATCCTGTGAAGTAGTCATTGATTGATTGAAAACATGTGGAATGCTTCAGTGTGTCCACTATCACTGCATTCCCCAAGCCCCGGGCCGTGGACAAGTACTAGTCTGTGGCCTGTTAGGGACTGGGCCGTAGAGCTCCCCCGCCCCCTTCCCCGCCACATCTGTGGAAAAATTGTCTTCTGTGAAACTTAGGACCCGGGGAGCTGCACAGCAGGAGGTGAGCAGCAGGCGAGTAAGTGAAGCCTCATCTGTACTTACAGCCACTCCCCATCACTCGCATCACCGCCTGAGCTCTGCACCCACCAACTCACCCCCAAGCCCTCCATGGAAAAATTGTCTTCCATGAAACCAGTCCCTAGTGCCAAAAAGGTTGGGGACCTCTGCACTATGAGACTAGGCTGAAAGTACCTAGAATAATGTCATGTACATTGTTCGAACTCAACCACTATTTCCCCAAAAGGGTGAAGGTGGTGCTAATGAGCTAATTATGTGTAGGAGTTAGGAACAGATTTGCTGGCTGCAGTAGACAGTGTTGTGGTCATGGTAAGAAATGAGTGTGGTGAAGTGATGGAAAGCTGAGAGCAGTTGCTGGGGGTGTCCTATATCTTGAGCAGAGCTGAGGAAGGGTGGAATGATGAGGAATTACCATGGACTTCTAAGCAGGAGAGGAATATGTCTTGTCTTCATACAAGGACACTGTCAGGATGGAGCTGGGAGAAGCTGGAGGCTGGCCAAGGGATCAGACACTTGGGTGTGTCCACAGTCCACTGGAAGTATCTAGGTATACCACAAGCCCTTCTCTGACCTCATGGTGGTATCTGCTCTTGCAGCCAGGGGTGCCCCCTTCAGAGTTACAGGCAGAGATTGGTTGTAGAAGCATCCAGAGTTCCCTGCTGTGCCATCTAGGGCCAGGTGGACAGAGGAAGCAGCTTGACATATAGCTGTGCACAACACACAAGCAGGCAACTCGCTGGGCTTCACAGAAATCAGAGCAGGTAGAATGGGGGCCAAGGAAGGTTCTTTATGGAAAGATCACATTTCCACCCAACCTGCATTGTTAGTTTTATGACTGCTTAAGAATGGCCGTTGGGAAGCTGGGTTTGGGAAGCTTTTAGGGATATGCCTGTTCTTTCAGAGAAGTGGAAATGGAGCTAATTTTGATGGTTCACTATTTAGGCATCTGTTAGCCCCTGTGGGACTGCCCAAGGCAGGGCTGGCCGTTTGGCCAGGGACCAATGCGATAACCTCCGTCTGCTGTACTTTACAAGACAGGCAGGGAGCCACAGTTATTACGTGGCCCAGTGGCCTTGCAACTTAAAAACTGTCTGTGATGCAGTGGAAGGAGAATGAAAGCTGGGCTCAGGATCCCTGTGTTCAAATCCTGTTAGGGAGTTTCCTGGCTGGGGGATCTTGGGCAGGACCCTGGACCTCTGTGAACCTCAGTTTCCTCATGTATATTATCTGTCTCATGAGATGTTGTGAGGTCGATAATACATGGGAAGGCATTTTGTTAGCAACGAATCATTTTACAAATGCTAATTGTTTTTATGTTCATGCATTGCTAAATTCATTTTGCCCTATTTCAAAAGGAGTCAGGAAGTCGGAGGGGAAATATTGGAAAGTCTGTGGCAGGGGTTTTGTTTCTCCCTGCAAGCCTGGATCAATGTAAACTATTCTACAAGGTCTTTACTTCCGGCAGGCTCGAGAAGCAGAGTTTGAGGCTGAGCAGGAGAGAATCCGGAGAGAGAAAGAGAAGGAGATCACCCGCCTGAGGGCCATGCAGGAGAAAGCCCAGGACTACCAGGCAGAACAGGTACCTGCTTAGTTTCGGATTCCCTCTGCCTCTGCCATTCCCTTGACTGTTCCTTTGAAAGCCTATGAAATGGCCTCCAGGGTGGAGATACAGTGGAGAGCAGGCAAGTTATCTAGACTTCACTGGTTTGAGAAGGGAGGGGAGGGCCTGATCCCAGGGCCTGTGGCAGCAAGGATTGAGCAGTGCATTACGTGCTTAAGGTTCAAGAGAATGTTTCTGACTCCTAACTAAAGAAGAACTTTCAACCTTAACTAACCAACGAAATGTGTCACCGGAGGAAACTGTGGCATCTCCATCATTAGCAGTTTTTAAAATTAGAAGCAATTGCAGGACTGCCTAAGAAGTGTTTGAGGTACAGGGAAAGAACTGGGATGAGTGGGCTGGGAAGACAAGACGACCCCTCAGGGTATCCTCTGACCCAGAAGTTCTATGATGGGATTCCATTTATTCTTTCCTAGAATAACTTGCTGCCAGAGAAACTCATGGTGCTTCTCAGAGCAGACTGTGTCAGAGTCTGTAAGCAGGTGTCTTCCTGAAGGCACCTGGCCTGCATCCGAGGTTATCTTGTGCCCTCACTGGTCCACCCCGCTTTCCCAGGATGCCTTGCGGGCCAAGCGCAACCAGGAGGTTGCAGACAGAGAGTGGCGCAGAAAAGAAAAGGAAAATGCACAGAAGAAGATGGAAACAGAGGCCAAACTGCAGAAAAGTCGGCTGGAACAGGTGGCTTTCAAGGAGCACACTCTGGCTGTTCAGGTGCAACGGGACCGGGATGAGTTCGAGAGGATTCTTCAGTAAGACAGGCCTGGGAACTTTGGCTTCCTTTCCTTGTACTATAGCAGGGATGGTTCATATCAGAGAGAGAGAAGCTTTCTGGCATGCTAATGGAGAGATGCTCACCCTTCTTGACTGGGTTGGTGGGATCATTCTACTAGATGGTTGGTTAAAATATTTCAAAGCCACTCGAACCACGTATTTTATGATTAGAGAATTGGAAAATAGCACCTGGAAGTGTTTAAGGAATTAGAGATTATTGGGATTATTAACCCTATAGCAGTAAAGGTATAAATAAAGGTATAAATCTGGTTCCTTCTCCTTCCCATGTCCCATGTCCCTTTGCAAATTAGGGATGAAAGTGCAGCATGAGAGGTTTAGGAAAGTTAGAAAGAAGAACTTCAGACACCAAGGGTTGTGAATCACTGGGGCAGGACTTTAAGGGAGCTCTTTGCCATTCATTTGAAAAATATGTATTAAGCACATAAATTCAGGGCTCTGTGCCATGGGGGAATTAGAAATTAATAAAACACTACTCTTGCCCATTCCAAAGGAAGGATGTTAGAAATTCATGTTTGGATGGACCTCACCTTTTTAATCCATCTTTCCTCCTTGGCAGCTCTTTACCCTTTTACTACAGTTCTCTCTTTTTGCTCAATGATAATTCCAGCATAAGTGGAAGCTAAGCATTCACATCTCTCACTGTTCTGCCCCACCCTCAGAGCAGCTGCCATTGGTTTCCCCCTCTTCTCTATTTTCTACCAGTCAGATCTGCCATGACCAGACCTGGAAGTGTTCTCCTGGCCTAAGTGGTAATGAGTCCCTTTTTGCCCCGGTTCAGTTTCTATACAAGATCAAAATTTTTCAAAAGGAAACAAACCAAACAAAATTTGAATTGGTGGGAGAGGGATATAAAATTATAGAATTATGCTCAGATAGAGATTGAACAGTGCAGCCCAGCTTTCTTGGTCTACATGCTCTAGGTCTTTCTTCTTGGTAATGCATCAGTTAGTTGCATGCCAGACAAGGCTACTCAGCCCCCAGCCAGAGGCAGAGCTGATCTGCAGGAACTTTCATCCTCGCCAGAGCCACATTTTTTACCTTTTATTGGACTGTGGGCCCCAGCCTATCCCCACTGGCTCTGTAGCTTTCCCCGCCCTCGGGGTGGTGCCATGGTCATTGGATACCTGGAGGAGAAGGTAGCTTCCTAGATTCCCCCAAAGATCCTGCCCTTGGGCTCCATACTGTCTTCCTGCTGCTCCCTGGCCTCCATGCCCTTGGACATCTGTTGCCTTTAACAGGCACTAATAGATACTCTAGTGGAATGAAATGAAAGTCCTAGTTTTGCTATCGACTCATTTGTCTCTCCTTTTCTCTGTTTTCCTGAAGCCAGTTATTAAAGCTAGATCAACCCCTTTGGAGAAGTTCAACTTCACCGGTTGTTCTAGGTTTGCATCTAGACCTAGTGTCTCTAGGGTCATGTGACCACCATGGTAAATGTCTTCATGCTGGGAACATCTCTACCACAGCCAGCAATCTAGCGTTTTCTACTTCAAAAGCATAGCCTCCTGTGTGGCTTATATGTGGACATCCTGTTTCTGAACAGAGGGATGCTTGTTGAATAAGCAGAGATAGTTGACCTATCCTACCCAGTGGTTCTTAGAAATGCCTGGGAACTTTCAGGAAACACTGATGCCCAGGCTCCAGCTCCACAACTGTGATTTAAATGGCCTGAGGTGAGGCCCGGGCAGGCATCAGTAGTTTTTGGAAGCCCTTAGATAATTCTAATATACCCATGATCACTGCCCTAGCCCTGTGGAATGAGGTTCTTCCCCATTTGGAGTTTCACCTGCCTACCACCCCAGGAGCTTTCTACTTGCACACATAGAGCCCCCTTTTCCACACCTACCCCTCCACTCAGAAGAATGTGAAACAATAGAGAACTGATCTACACATAGGAAAAACATGGCAAGGTGAAGAGAAGAGTCTTCCTGCTCTCATAGACGTAGCTGAGCAGTAGAGATTTGGTGTCTAAATACAGAGGGACAAGGAAGCCAGCAGTTTTCATTTCATAAACTGGGCAGGCTCTGGAGCAGGGGTAGAATTTTAGGAGATGTTTGCATGGTGGAAGTTGCTGGGAGTTGAGAGGATACCCCATGTATGGTGGATGTTGGAAGAAGGCTAGAAGGAAATGAGGAAGTGAAGCAGTGTTTTTGGTACCTTTATTGGGGTATGAGTGAGCCTAGGGTAGGAGAGCAGGTGAACGATTCCTGCCTAAGATGATTTTACATTTTGTTTTTGTTTTTGATCATGCTGAGAAAGAAATTAGATGTTAGCTCAAGATGGCCTATAACTGCATTTCCTCTGAGATGTGAATGCATCTCGTTTGAGTTTTTTCTGAGTCTATCTGGTTGCCAGTAGCAATTTTCTCCCTGACGTCAGGGTCCATGAAGTATTTTTGTGGAAGAGGTTTCTAAGAGGAATTTGGAAAGATAGATCAATAAGAGAACTGAGAGATATCAGGCTGAGCTCCTTCCTTCTACCTCCAACCAAGGTAGAGCTAGGATTCCAGACGTGGCCACGTCTTTTAACTTTCCAAGCATCCCTTTGTTGGTTTTGTTAATGTTATCATTATTGTTAGTGAGAAAAGGAAGGAAGGAAGGAAGGAAAGAAGGATGGAAGAGAGGGAAGGAGGAAGGGAGGGAGGGAAGGAGATATTTTACAATAAGCTGGAGAGGAGTTATGCATTGTTATGAGGGAAGAGTAGGAACGATAGCTCCCAGGGGGTGAAACCCTGGGTGTAGTGCCAGCTACACAATTTGCAGGGCCCAGTGAAAAATAAGAACGTGGTGGAGGCTCTTGTTCAAAAATATTAAGAATTTCAAAACAGTGATTGCGGAGCATGAAATCAAGCCTGGGGCCCTTCGAAGCATGACACACAGTTGCTTGCCCATGAAGCTGGTCTGGCTGGGTGGGAAAGGGATCATGCAGGGTGGCAGTCTTTGGCGCTGACCTTCCAGCGGCAGAAGAGGGCCGGAGCCTGGAGGGCTGTGGTCTCTGAAGCGTGTTCACTGGAGGAGCCCACCCAAGAGGCTCCCCCAGCACCTTTCCTCGGCTGGGCCAGCTCCGCCTAGCCCTTTCCACCCCTCGTGTCCTCCCCACCAGGGCTCAAAGGCAGCAGATTGAGAAGGAGCGGCTGGAGGAGGAGAAAAAGGCCACAGGGCACTTACAGCATGCCAACGAGCTCCGGCGCCAGGTGCGCGAGAACCAGCAGAAGCAGGTGCAGAGCCGGATCGCCACCTTCGAGGAGGGCCAGCGCCTCAAAGAGGAGGCCCAGAAGCGGCGTGAGCGCATTGATGAGATCAAGAGGAAAAAGCTTGAAGAGCTGAGGTGCGCTGGAATCCCCTCCTCCACCGGGTCCTCTCTTCTTCCCCAAAGAGCCAGCATAGCAGGCTGGAAAGTGTGGGATTTGGGCGGAGGGGCCATGGCAGGGGTGCTCAGGGAGGGCCCTTCTCCCTACTCGAGTCTGTCCCTCTGTGGGAGGCTCCAGCAGGAAGTTGTGGGGTGGGGTCTCCCTGGCTGTCTGGGAACTCCCTGGCAGGATTGCTGGAGCCCTGGCATGCACATGTTTGGGGGGTGCACTGTGGGAGCAGGGTTCTGTAAATCCCACCCGGAGCCTGCTTCCTCCCCTTACACCTGCCCGGCGTTTCCCTGCAGAGCCACTGGCCTTCCTGAGAAGTACTGCATCGAAGCCGAGCGCAAAGCTAACCTGCTGGCTACCTCCGTGAAGTGAGGGGGGCCTCCGTGGCCCTTGGCATGCCTTCGGGGACAAATTCTGCCCAGTCTCTGGGGGTCCATAGTTGCTGCTAACCTAGATGTTTCACAGTTACAGATTAAATCTATTCTACTTCTCTAAGGAACAGCTCAGCTTCCTTGCTGTGGGGATGTGGCTGCTACAGGGTATCGAAGGTGGAGCAAAACAGGGTGTGGGGGTGTCGGGTGAGGGGGCGTCGAGCAAGGACGGCATGGTGCTCAGGTTTGGGGAAAGGGAGGATGCTCTCGCATGAACATCGCTCCTAAGCCAGGAGGTCCCTTTGTCCTGGTGTCCCTTGGCCTTTCCGTGATCCCCTAGGATGTCCACTTTCAGCATGGTCTTGTCTCTGTTCCCCCCCACGCCCAGTCCGGAGGCATTTCAGGGCATTAAGGCAGAGCTAGAGATGCTCTCTCCCGGAGGGGCTGGGGCCGGGGCTGGGCTGGGTGGAGCTGGAGGAGGTACTGGGCCAGCTGCACTCACACCCATGACTCAGACCACATCTGTGGAGGGGGTGGTGTTTGAACCTGGAGCTCACTCCACCTGTATCGGCCCTCTCCTGCCAGGGCCTTTCAACCCCAGGCCCTGCTGCAACAGACACGGGCCCCATCCCCCAGGAGGCGTGCCCAGGGCCTGCACTCCTCACGCAAGCACAGCTGCCCATCCCCGCATGGCCGGGCTCTCCTCAGTCCACCTCACTCCCATAGATGGGGTGCCCCACCGCCATTTTTGTCTGTTTTAACTTTCCTCACTTCGCCCCACACTGTTCTTCATTCATTCACTTATTCAAATACTGAGTGCTTACCACATGCCAGGTACCTCCTGGGCACTCAGTGAACAGGCGGTGGACAGTCCTGGTCGCACCCTCACAGCAGCCTCTCGCCTGTGCCAGTCTGCTCCTGCTTCCTCCCCCCGCTGCTGCCCACCCTATCACCTGTACCTTTAGAATTGGCTCAACCTTTTTGGAAGGACCCCGGTTGTCAGGCTCCTATTTGGGACTGGAGCCACTTCCCGGTTTTTGTGTGCCTGGGGTGGGGGAGGGCTCCAATCCAGCTGCCATCACCATGGTGTCCCTCTGCCCACCCCACCCCAGGGATTTGCTCCATTTCTCAAATCCAGAGCCCAGTCTTGTCTTCCTCAATGCCTCCCGCACGAGAGGAGGCAGAGGACAGCTGCCCGGGCGTCCTGGGTGTTTACAACGCCAGGTTACAAGGGCCTCCGGCAAGAGTCCTCTTTTCATAAGGCCCAGGGAGAGTCAGCAAGCTATTTCCTGTGCTTCCTCTCCCTGTTTCCTGTGCTTCCTCTCTCTCAAGACAGCCACAGCTTTCCCAGGCGCTGTCTCCGCCTTCCCCGCCAGGGAAACCGTTGCCCCGCCCCACTAGGTGAGCAGCCCCTCCAGCTGTGTAGGGAGGAGGCTTTCTCACCTTCCCTGCTCAGTGCTCTGAACTACAGTCCTCCCAGCTAGGGAAGCTGACCCCCTGGGGGTCATGGGAAGATGTGATACCCCTCCTAGAAGAAGGAGGAGTGCCACCGAGGATTCTGGCACCCTTCTGCAGCTGGCACATCTGGGTTCTCTCCGATTATCACCTGTCATTCAGTTGATACCTGCAGGGACCAAGGGACAAGTCTCCACTTATTTCAGGGGATTCTGTTTCCCAGGAAAGCCAGAAAGAGCTTGGGTACCTGGAGTTTGCCCAGCCCCACACCTACGTCATCCATCTCAGGGCTGGAAAAAATGTCCCCTGTGGGGAATGGGGTCAAGGAGAAAGGGGGTTCCATTCACATTGCTCACTTCTGAGCCCATACAGAGAAAAATGGGCTAAGTTCACAGACTGAAGGCAAGGCTAGCATTTGACCAGAGATGCTGCTGTTGAAAATGCAGGTCTGTGGGGCCTGGGAGACCTCAAGGCCTAGAAGTGAGATTGTCTTGACAGGGCCTGGACACAGGGCAGTTATAGGTTACATAAATAAAGGTCTAGCTTCAGAGAAGGAAGAACATAGCCACTTCTGAGCAAGTGAAGGTGATCTGGGAGAGAATCTCAGAGAGCTCTGCCCCAGGGTTGCCCCTTCCACCCTCAACAGGAATTCTCCGTCTCGGAATTGGCCCATCAAGTGGAAGAGAGGTTCAATTTCTTTTCTCAGGATTCCTGAGAAGCCCTGCCCAGGCTTCCACAGACTCCAGCCTGGATCAGCGGGGATCTAGTTCCTAGAAGCAGGACACTCTTGAGAGCCAGGAAGGCAGCTGGGATCCGTGGCCAGCTAGCTACATCTGGGCATCTTTTATGAGCTCTCTACCCCTGTCACCTGGGAGTGGCAGTAGGGATAATCACAGAGAGGTCCCCTGGCTTTGAGGGGGAGACATGGGGTGAGGCTACATGATAGAGATGGAAGAGTCATCAGGAGACTGTGTGAGCTCAGCTTGTAGAGAGGGAGTGGGGCCTGGAGACAAAGAAAAGAGGAAATGGGCATTCTTTTGAGGACTCTAGTGGGCCCTCAGGCTCAGTCTTGCTGCTAGAGGTTGGCCCTTCGGTGTGGGTGCTTTCTGCTAAAGAGGTTTCGGCTTTCCCCTCCTCATGCTCAGAGGTGGAAATGAGCTCTGTGCACCCCTCCAAGCCACTGAATCAGCCCAGGGGGGTCTGGGAGGCTGCAAAAGATAAGTAGGAAGTGAAGTTTGGTGCATTATCTTTGTTGATCTAAGGGTTTTTTAAGTGTCCAAGCTATTATTGACTTTGTTCCATAGGTATCTGATTCCTTTGTATATTAATTTTACATTATTGTGTGCATAAAAGTACATATTAGCTCCTGGAGGACTTCCCAGCTCCCTGTCTTCTGCCCTTGGGGTCTTCTAGCCCTTGCAATGTCAGACTGGACTGGTCCAGCCTGGAGAATCCCACGGGTGGGCTCCACTTTGGAACACTGAGTCAGATCTGCAGTCACCTGCCTCCCAGGCACATGTTCCCTGGCTCTATGCTCTACCTGCCCACACGTGCCTGTTGCCCACACCACACTCTGCTGTGGCTTGGAGGTGGCCTCAGAACATTTGCACCTGCTGCAGAAGCAGCTCCAGTTGGGCATGACTCAACAGCCTTTATTGGTGGCTGAGGCACGCTATCCCTGACTCAGTGGGGTCCTGGGATGTCCTCTACTACCCCTGAAAGCCTTGGAACCTCCATCTGTGACTTGGATCACAGCTGGGCATTACTCGGTCTCAGTAAAATCACTTTGATTAGACTCGGATGAAAGGGGCTGTAAGAGTTCAAAGACAGACAGGGCTTTTAGGGTGAGGACAGGAGGCAGCTATTTAGGTGACGGTGGAGCGGAGATGCTGGAGTCTCAGACAAGAAGTCTGGGAGCGGAGGCCACGGGGGCTCAGAAACAGAGTTCCTCAGTCTCTGTTTTCTCACTCTTGCCCCTCCTAACTACTCCTTTTGCAAAGAGTAGGAGCCTGGGGGAGAACTGTGGGAGAGGGCACAGCCTGCTCCAGACCAGAGGTCTCTTCCCCGTCCTGGGCTGCAGTCCACAGTGACCTGCCTCCCTTACCATGCTCCGAGATACGTCCGGGGAAATCATGCCAGGGTTATCTGGAAGGTCCTCATTTCCAGCATCGTTAAGGTGTTCTTGGTTTGGCTGGCTTTAAATAGCTCGGACCTTCCCTCTGTCATAGCTCCCATACCTCATACCCCTCCCAGCTGGGATATTCTCCCAGAGGTGCAAGCTCTGCATTTCTTTTTGCATTCTCACTCATGTCTACTTGGAGAGGGGTGGCCATCATCTCAATGACCTTTGATGACTTTGAGGCTGGACAGGAATGGGGTTAAGATGTTAGATAGCTTTAAAGGGGGTGAGTGGGAGTGGGGAGCAGAGGACCTGGGGCCTGCCCAGAGCTAACGAGCTCGTTTCTGCATGGCCCCTGGGGAAAGGCTGTGTGTCCCTGGGCTAGTGGGGATGAGAACCAAATCATAGAATCTCCAGGCTGGAAGGGACCTCAAAAACCCTTTGGTGCTTGAATCTCCTTTGTAAACTTGTCAAATGGTTGGACAGCCTGAGCTTGCACACCCTGAGAGACAGGGTGCTCACTACCTCATACCAAACCACCTCAGGTCAGCCCTGATGCTCAGAAGTTTCTTAATATTGAGTCAATATATGTATTCCTGTGCGTCCCATGTGTGGGCCTAATCCAGGCTCTTTTTACATAACACCCCTTCCGATATCTCCTACAACGGCTGCTGTGCAGCCTGACCCTGCAGGGAAGTGCCTGTCATTCTGGAAACACAGGGCTCTCCTGAGCATTTCAGGGAGGGGTTGTTGGAGGGAGGAAACCGGGAGAAGTGGAGAGTCTTTGGCTTTATTCCTCGGGCTGGGCCTGTTGCTGTCCTGCTGGGTAATACTTCCTCAGTCCCTGCCAGCCCTGGCAGACAGAGCTGTGTTGCCTCTGAGCCCCACCCCCTCTGGCGCCACCTTCCCCTTGCTCCTTTCTCTATCCTGTGTCCAGGCAACAGGAAACAAACACAGAGGGCAGAGCGAGGGCTGGTCGGGATGGGTTTAGCGGGGAAGGCTCTGATCCAGACACGCACCAGCTTCATTCTGACGCCTGCCAGCACCCACACACCTTCCCGGGCAACAGCCAGGGGGACAAGGCAGGCTGGGGCCACCCTGAGGGTCAAAGGAGACCCAGTTCCCCTCTGTGGATAGGTATTGGGGTAATCCAGATGGTGAAACCCAAAGGCAAATTTTATTTCTACAAATTCAAAAGTCAAAGTCCCATTGGACGTGGATTAATCCATCCACACGTTGGACACACAGGAATACATATATTGACTCAATATTAAGAAACTTCTGAGCATCGGGGCTGACCTGGGAGAGTAATTCATCTCTCCACACACAGACAGACACACAGTCCAGGATGATCCATCTCAATTGGCTAATCCATCCCAAGGGCCTGGCTCTGAGCCCAGGGAGGTGCTCTGAGGGCCCTGGGTAGAAGGTCCCAAGAGGTTGAGTTCACAAGTGTCTTCCCTCCTCAGTCCAAAAATAACCATCAGCTGTCACTCCTGGCTTCACTCTTCTCAATCCATGCCTGGCGGGGACCTGGCTTATTTCCCAAGCACTGAAATAGTCTCTGGCCACCTCTCTCTGCCCCTAGTCCTCCACCTGGCACATCACTGGTTATCCTTCAGATCTCTGCTTAAACATCATTGCCACCTGGTCAGGGGCTTCGCGCATATGACCGTAGCTTATCACACCATGGGCGTGGGCTAGGGACCCCTTCCCCTTGCAGAGATGGGGTGCTCTGCAAGGATGGAGCCTGAGTCTCCTTCATCGCTGTTTCCCCCGGGGCCTACACAAAGCCCAGCCGTTTGTCGAATGAATGAAGGTTCTGCAGGATGTGGTTGATCTTGGTGAGGTGAAGACAACAAACAATTTTACCTTCAAGATCTCTTCATTCCTTCTCAGGTTTGTCATGAGGGATTCACACACTCTTTCCAAGCTATTTCTTCTAGCCTAAGAGTTTCACTGATGACATTCAGTCAACTCCCTTTGCTCTTGTGCTTTGCATATATAGTGGGAGCTTGGGCCACTCCTTTTAGTGGTGGGGACTATGTTTGTGCTGCTTGCTCTTGTGAGTCTGGGTCAGCTTCAGCACATTGCTCCATGGGAGAGGTTTGGGCTCATCTAGGCTCCCGTCTGGGGTCTGCCTTCTTCTCAGGTGGACCAGTAGGAGCCACTGAGGCTTGGGAAGCCTGAGCAGGGGCTCAGGGAGTCCCTGGGTTGCCTGTGTCCAAAGCCCTTGCACGCCAGCCTTGATCTGAGCCTCAGTCTCTAACACCAACCCACATCCTCAAACGTAACCTCATACAAGGATCTCATCTCTTTCTTACTGGCTCTGACCCTTCCTTGTCAGAATGCCACGTGCTCCCATCACACCTCCTGTGCCACTTGGAGCCCCCGCCCACCTCGTATAGCCACGGCCTCACCTGGCAGACCTCCAAGTCCAAGTCTTCACTGTAAGCTGGGTGGGAAGATAGCAGTTGCATGGCTCCTTGGCCTCTCCGTGACTGTCTGCCTCTCTGAGCCTTCTAGGACGTTGTCTATCTGCAGGTGCTCATAGCTCCTGCTCCCATTCTCTCCTCAGGGGTCTCCTCTGCAGGGGGGCTTCTCCCTGAGTGTTGCAAGGGGTAAGCCAGGCTCTACATGGGTACTTGGGGGAGGAGTCTGAGGAGCTTGCTTGCTGTGTGTGGGGAGTTCAGAAAGGATCAAGGGAGGGGAACTGGGGAGCTTGCGCCTGAGCTTAGGGAGCCCAGGGAGAGGAGTTGGGCGGGCAAGTCCAGGCAGGGGAGGGCAGGACTTACAGGGGCTGTGTAGAGCTGCTGTGGAGGGGACTTTGAAGGTCCTGGGGCTGGGCTGCACCCCATCCCAGAAGTAGTCTCTGGGCTTCTCTGGGTCCTTCGCCTGCTCTTCCTTCCTCCTCTGTCTCTGCTCACTCCTTCCTAGGCCTCTGTCTTTGATTTCCTCTTTTTATCTTAGAATAGAAGGAAATACCACCCAAACTGGGGCCATTCTTCCTTGGAGAGTCATGGATTTCTCAGGAAAAAGCAAGGGTCCCCTTTGGAAATTTGTGTGTAGGGTCCCAGATCCTGGCCTGGGCCCCCTGCCTCCTCTGCCTCTCTCTCTCTGGACCTCTGGACAGGCCATTTGGATGCCATGCATGTTTCTGTCTCTGTCTCTGCCCCTTAACTGATCACTCTCTCTCCCTTCTCTCTCCCTGGGAGCACAGAGGGAACCCCAGTAGTCTCCCGGATCTGTCCCGGCCTTTACCTGGCCTGAAAAGGAAATGGGCAGGGAAATGGGATGTTTGGGGTGGAGACTGGGTGTGGAAAAAGGAGACAAAGGAGTTGGGCTAGGGAGCTTCCTAGGAGGGGGCCCTCTTCCTCCGCTGAAGATGAGGCCCAGAGAGAAACACAGGCTGTGGGCTGGCCCCAGAGGGAGGGGACTATGGGCTGGTCCTAAGCTATGGGAACTAAGCTGATACCCCAGTGGCCTCCCCCAACCAAAACCAAACCAAATCAAAACAAACAAACAGAAAACCCTGCAGGGCTCAAGGCACAAGGCAGGATGGCTGACAGCTTCTTTTATAGGCCCCAAATTGCACAGAGGTGGCAATTAACCCTCAGTGGGTCAAGGGGGAGCAACAATGGTGCCCTGCCTTTTCAGGCTTGGAGTGGATGTTCTTCTAGGAGCATGTAGGCAGGCCCTCAGTTTCCTCCAACCCCCATCTCCTAGACTCCACAACCAGACCCCACGCCCCCAGTAGACTCCCTCTGATGGACCCCCATCCTCTAGTTGAGTTTGGTATTAGAGCCCCACTCACTGCCAGTAGCTCCCTGCATCCCCTCCCCAAGTGCCTTTCCTGGAGCTTGACCAGGTGGTGAGCTTTAGCAGTGGAGCAGGACTTCAGAGGGTCCATTTGTTATGGGATTATGTTGCCTCAAACCCTTCCTACGGGCTCATGCCCATTTGGATCCCTCCCCAAAGTCTTGGGACCCCAATCGACATGCGCCACTGGTATGCTCCCTGAGCTGAAGGTTGAAAATTCTAGCCAAACCTGCATTTAGCAGATGGAGGCGAGGTCTTTCTACATCAGAAATAAAACCTGATCTTTGATCTCTTCGAGTCCCCCTGCTCACGTACCTTTAACCCATGTTTTAACCCTAAACACAGCCTACTTTAACTTGAATCTTAAACTCATCTCCAACCCGACCGTAACCCCGCTCCTAAATCAATCTTAACCCAGCCTTTGATTTAGCCCCAGCTGTATTCCCAAGCACAGCTGTACATGAAACCAAAACCTTATTCCTTATCACGGGACAAATCCCAGCCATAAACCCTAGCATCAGTGCTAGCTGTAATTCTAACCCTAATCCCCTCCTTAACTCTCATCCCAACCTCAAATCTGACCTCAACCTCATTCACAATTTCAACCACCCCTAAGCTTCACTCCAGCTCCAGCCTTCACCCCAGCTCTAACATCAGGCCAAGTCCAGAACGCAACTAACCCTCAAGTCTGCACTTTAGTATAATGGAACCACAAGCTCACTCCTTTCTTCTCGGTCTCACTCTTCCCGGCCACACCTGTTCTCCCCTCCACCCACCACTGACCTTCCAAGCTTTTTTCTCATGAGTGGGTCTAGTAACCCAGGACCATGAGCCCTTTTCCTGGACCACTCTGAACTGGGAGCCGGGAGGCCTGGGTATCCCCCACTTAGCTCCAGCAGCATCACCTGGGCTGACTCCCCACGTTTCTCCAGACCCGTTTCCCCATCTGTAAAATGGGGATAATGATCCCTGCTCTCCAGAGGGTGCAGGACAATACCATAAACCTCAAAATAAATAAGGAAATAAGGATATTCATTGTGTATATCTGGTTGGCCCCAAAGCAGCCTGCTATTGTCGGGAGTTCAGGTGGAAGGGTTTGGAACCCAGAGATGTGGGGACTCCTTGTGCTTCCTTATTGTTCCGTCTTGTTTTTCCCAAAGGGGTGGGCCCTGGAAGCATCCCTGAGCCCATAACGCCCCAAGACTCTTCCACCTCTGCCTTTCCTGTGCCCAATGTCAGGGGTGGGGGACAGACTCTGACTCTTTTGAGGAAGTCGGGCTATTGAACGGGACCACTCATGACCTGAGCCCCACCACTGTGTCCCGGGGAGACACAAGGCTGTTCTGTACCCCTTGGGCTGACCAAAGTCTGGCCCTCTACCTTCTCCCCCCGCCCACCAGGACTGTCCCCACCCCAGCTCCAGCCTGCCCGGGACTGTGCTGGCTTAGTCACCCTGATGACCAGCCTGGTTATGAGGGTCCTGGGTCTCAAGGACCCAGTTCATTCAAGGCCTGGCCATTTTTCCTGTGTGTAGAAGCCAAGACACCAAGTAATCCCTCAAAGAAGTACACACAGAAGGCTTGCCCTCCTCAGCAGAGACTCCTGGCACACAGACACCCTGCCTCCCTCGCACACGCACGCCCCTGTGAAGGGTGTACACGCTCACACAGGCACACCCCCTCCCCAGTCCTCGCACTGTTCTCGCCCACATTCTCTCCCCCACCCCACACACTCACCTCACTCCCACCACACACCCCAGGTCCCCTGTAACACCCCTGGCTCCCAGGGATCCTTTACACTCAAGGGCGACGTGGAGTCCGAGGGGACATCCAGGAGAGACTGTTCCTGAACACACCCCTTCCCTCCTCTTGGAGCTCAGGAGGCCCGACTCCCTTTGAAAGGCCAGAGGCCTCAGGGGAAAAGCAGGCTGGTCATTCCTGGGTCCCCTTCATCTGCCTGGGCCTCCCCTCCAGCCCCAGGACCCAGCATGGGGGCAATGTCTCCTTCCCTAATGCCCCTTCTCACAGATCTCGATCTGGTGAGGGGCCCTGGAGGGTCAGGGATGCTTGCAGGGGTGGGACTTGGATGCTGGAGGCTGCACCGGGGAAGGGGGTGGCAGGCCCCTGTGCCCTGGGGTCAGTGGTAACTCTCCAAGGCATGGCCACCATTCCTCCATGAGCCTGGCTTCTCCTTCCTCTTCCTCACTTCCTCCAGGGAAGGAGGCAGCAAATGAGTGGTGAGGGGAGCTCATGGAAGCTGGAAATGGGGTGACTGTTGTCACCCCAAGGACGTGGTCAGGAGGAAGTGAAGTTTAACAGGTGCCTAATTACAAGTCCCGCTGGCTGCCCTGCGCCACTCTTGGGACAGGGAAGAGCTTGGGTAAGGGCTGGGTAATGCCTGGGTAGGCCACCCTGTCACCCCGCTAATTAGGGTTCCTGGGACTCCTCCCCAAGGCGGGGACCAGGCCCCCTCCCTTCCATAGAAATAACTCCGGCTGCTCCCCAGCCGGGCACTCATTGCACCTTCCTGCCACCCCGGGCAGTGTCTGGGCCCTCGGCTCCCCCTCCCTCCACCAGCCCCCTCACACGCACACCGCAGCCCACAGGATACGCAGCCCAGGTGGAGCAAACACCGAGCCTAGAGACATGGGAGTTCGAGGAGCGTTCCACATTCTACTTGTGTGCCTGAGCCCAGGTACGGGGCTGGGCGGCGGGCAGGGATACCCAGCATGAGGCCAGACGGGTGGGGAAAGGCTCACAGGGGAGCCTCCAAGGCGGCCAGAGATGCCCTGGCAGGGCGCTGCCCACCCTTGCCCTGCTGCCACCGGGTCTGGACGCCGCTGGGGGCCCTCTCCCTGGGAGAGCCTGTGCTGGGTCACGTGTGTGGTGTGGAGGTCTGTGAGGGGATCTTCATGTGTCCATGTGCCCTGTGGGGCTCGCACATGTGTGCCGCTGCTCTGTGTGCTCACCTGGTCCGGATTGGCGGTGAGGGGCTGTCGGGGAGGAGGGTGGGAAGGGGGAACATTTTCGGCCTTTGCATGAGCGTGAACGTGTAGGTGGGTGTGCGGGTGTATGTGTGTGCATGATGGCATTTCTGGCGGAACAGCCGCACCTGCTCTCTGCCTAGTGAGAGCCGGCCTGGCAGAGCCCACTGAGGAAGCTCCGGCTGTGCCGTGGGGACCCGCGACCTCGCTGTGTGTGTTGCGTGTCCACGGGTGTGTGAGGACAGACTCAGCGCTGCGTGCTTTACGCACCAGCACCCTTTGGGGGAGCTGCCTCTTCTCCCCCTTCTCCCCCAGAGGGAGGCTCTAGGGTTCTGGAGGCAGCTCGAAAATTCAGAAAGGATTTACAAGCCGAGAGCAGACACTACTATTGTGGTGACACCTTGTAGAGGGCGTCCAGCCTGGTGCTTTTGTGGGGTGACAATTAATCACCGCTGTACTCTTCCTTCAAGAGCCTGTTGTGACTTGCCCAGTCCCCCTGTCTCCCCAAGTCTCCCCAGCAGCTCTCTCTTCCACCCTGCCTTTCCTCCCTCTCCCCAGCCTCTCTCTTTCTCATGTTCCCTGGAAGTACTTCCTCAGTGCTGGGTGAGACGCCAGGAAAAACCTCCCAGGGAGAGGGAGGGCTGCAGAAAGGCCAGAACTCTGGGAGGAGGTTGAGAAAACGTCTAAGGAAATGGAAAAGCTGGGCGAGGCTCCCTGGCTGGGGACAGTTGAAGAAACTCTCAGCCTAGTGCAGAGTGGAGGCACGTTTCTTCCAGCCTGTCCCTCCTTCCCAAGCCCTCTCCCTGAATACTTACCCTCCTGCCTGGCTGGCTCCTGTGCCACGGGGAAAGAATCCTCCCTGTGTGGGCTGCTTCTAGTGGCTTCCTCAGAGTGGAGCCTCTGCTCCCAGCTGAGCTCTCACTCACCTCTCCCTGGCTGGCCTTGTGCCACCCCAGGATCTGGCACATGCAGCAGGATCCTTATCTCAGGAATGAGCTGCTATTCTCTTGGCCTGGGGCTGGAGGAGGCACCGCTGGTCCCGTTAGAGCCCCAGTGGCCGCCTGCGTGCTCCTGGGCCACCCTGGAGTCTAGCTGGGTTAGGCCATGGCTGACGGCCCAAGCAGGGTTCCTAGCGGGTAAGTTCAGTGACCCCTGAGGTGTTGGTGTGAAAAAGGTCCTTGCTGGCCTCTCCAGAGCCAGGCTAAGGCTTCCAAGCAGGGCTTGTGCAGATACGTCTGGTCGTGAACGCACACACATGGGAACTATATGAGCATGCAGTGGGCGTGTCTCTTGGATTAATATGTACCTGTGTTTGTGTGCAGATGCATGTCCATGTTTGTATAGATCTGACAGTGTCTGCGTGTGGAGGAAGGTGGGGCCGCATGGGAATGTATCTGCATTTTGAAGGCTTGTAAGAGTGTGTTTGTGTGTCAATTTGTTTGCCTATGACAGTGTGTAATTGTGTGTGTGTGTGTGTGTGCACGTGCGTGAGAGAGAGAGAGATGTTCTCTAAGTGCGAACATGGTTCCGAGCCAGAGAAGGACAGAAGAGAATGATTGCGACCTGGGGCTGGGACTCAAAGGACATGTTGACTCAAAAAGGAAAGCAGATGGAAAGGGAGCGAGGCTGGCTGAGGGGCCGGGGAGGCAGAGGGCAGAGTGCCCAGGGTGGGGCTCTGGGTACAGCCCCCTTCTTATCCCTCTCTAGGTCCAACCGGTTGGGGCTAGGCTTGCCTGGGGCTTCAGGGGAGGGAGGGAGAGCTCAGTCCTGAGCTCCCGGATCCTGGGATCCCGGCTCCTCCCCCAGGGCTGCCTGCCGCTGACTCAGTGGCAGGAGGGGCCTCAGTGGGAGTGAGCATGTGGAGGAGGCTGTACCTGAGCCACACAATCACACGAGGGGAAGGACACACAGTCCACAGTACCACACATCATCACGCAAGGCTCACACTGTCCTACAGATACCTGTGGCCATAGTCCCAGGCATGCACCGTCACTCACTGTCACCCAAACACAGCCAGGCTCCGGTCACACCTGCCCGCCATCACGCACGGGCACACAGCACCACTCTGAGCACTTACACAGGCAGGCTCACAGTGTCGCACACCACCACACAGAGGCATACAGCCACAGACACACACTGTCATACACAGACACACACGGCTCACTCAGTCTTCTGCTTCGCGGGCTGGAGAGGAATCCCAGAAGCCACTGTATCCGTCCTCCTGCCTCTGGACGGGAGCACTTCACTCAGCCCAGGCAGAGCCCAGACAGGCGGCATTTAACCAGTCAGGCTCTTCCACCAGAGCATTAACAACTCTGTGTGCGCCACATGCCTACACACACACAGACACACACACACCAGCACGCCCGTACTATCGTGTACGTATATAAGCAGACACCATCCATGGTCATGTGCATGAATATCCTTAGAGTACGCATAAGCAGCCACAAATACGCAGAAGCACACAGTGTACATGTGTATGTACTCATACATGCATACACATAATCATGTATACATACAGGCGTACATAACAGCTATTCAGTATTCAGATGCAAACTTACACGGTCATAGAATATATATATGTGTCCACAGCATGCAGACACTGCCACATGAATAAACATGCAACACAAGTACACACAGACATGCCTATAGCAATTCATACACACACACACACACACACACACACACACACACACAGAGCAGCCCCTCCTCCCAATGGAAGCCCCATTGAGCCCTGGGACAGAGAACGGTGGGAGGAGGGGCTAAAGCTGACTTCTCAGGCCCTGGCTCTGTCCCCACTCACCTTGCTGTTCTGCCCGCCCCCAGCACTGCTGTCTGCTGTGCGGATTAACGGGGATGGCCAGGAGGTCCTGTACCTGGCGGAAGGTGACAATGTGAGGCTGGGCTGCCCCTACGTCCTAGACCCTGAAGATTATGGTCCCAGTGGGCTGGACATAGAGTGGATGCAGGTCAACTCGGACCCCGCACATCGGGAGAACGTGGTGAGTACTGGGCATGGGGTCCCCTTACCCTACACTTCACGGTGTCTGCCTGTTGGGCAGCCAGCACCCTGAGGGGAGAAGGAGGGCAAATAATGAAACTAAGACCTTGAACTTCCCCCAAAGCCTCTCAGGGAATGGGGCAACAGGGATGAGAGGTCTGCAATCGTGAATCAAGCCAGCCAGTCAGTTTACCTCCTCCGGCCCCATTCCAAAGGGAAGATGAGGTATGGCCCCTCAAGAAGTTCCCGGCCTGACCTTATACTTTCCAAAGAGCTTGACCTCACCTGATCGCACCCATTATGTAAGAATGGGCATCATCATTCCCATTTTTCAGCTGAGAAAACTGAGTCTCAGAGATGTTCAGAGAATTGCCCAAGCACCAACCTGCATGGCCCTCCTTGGCTCTGCCTGTCTCACCACCTGTTTTCCTCTCTTCTTCGCAGTTTCTAAGTTACCAGGACAAGAGGATCAATCACGGCAACCTCCCCCATCTGCAGCAGAGGGTCCGCTTTGCAGCCTCGGACCCCAGCCAGTACGATGCCTCCATCAACCTCATGAACCTGCAGGTATCTGACACAGCCACCTATGAGTGCAGGGTGAAGAAGACCACCACGGCCACCCGGAAGGTCGTCGTTACTGTGCAAGGTATGGCCAGACTCCTCTGGGCTCCCCTTCCTCAGGCTTCAGAGCCAAAGGCAGCTTGGCCACTGCGAGCCCACCTCTGCCTCTTGGCTGGGCCCTGGCTCACAGTTGCCTGCCTCCTTGCAGCACGCCCTGCGGTACCCATGTGCTGGACTGAGGGCCACATGACATATGGCAACGACGTGGTGCTGAAGTGCTTTGCCAACGGGGGCTCCCAGCCCCTCTCCTACAGGTGGGCCAAGATCAGCGGGCACACGTACCCCTACCGAGCCGGGTCCTACGCCTCCCAGCACAGCTTCCACTCTGAACTCTCCTACCAGGAGTCCTTCCACAGCTCCATGACTCAAGGTGAGGGGAGCCCCAGCGAGGGCACGGTGGGGACAAGCAGAAGATCAGAGACTCTGGGACCTGCTGGGGCTTCCTTGGGTTATCAGTGGCACCAAGTCAAACCTGGAACCCCTATGGGAGACTCCCCCTGTGGGCCTGTCCCAGCAGCTGCTATTGAGGGAGGAAGAGAAGTCAACAGTGGGAGTCCGTCAAAAGCAATGTGGTTAATATGGAAGGAGCATGGCTTACCCTCCCCATGCCTTGATTTTTTCATATGTGAAAAGGGAATACTAATGTCTACCTTTCAGGGGCATGTGAAGATTAAATGGGGCAAGGTGTGTAAACTCCTAGCACATAGAAAAGCTGAATAATCTTCAGTCAAACAAAGAATAACAGAGCAGAAGGGACCTTAGAGTTTCTCTGGTCTAACCCTGTCCTCACTGTACAAGGGAGGAGACCAAGGCTCAGAGAGGGGATATATATTTCCCTAAGGTCACAGAATGAACTAATGGCATCTCTGTCTTGTCGCTGGGAGAGGGGTCCTTCCTTGCCTCTGCCTTAGCAGGGGGAGGGTGATTCACCTTGAGAGTGGAGAAGACCTGTGTGTGTGTGTGTGTGTGTGTGTGTGTGTGTGTGTGTGTGTGTGCGTGCACGTGGGTGCGCTCACATGCATGCATACACCTTCCTTCCTTCCAGAGTGGGTGTCCCATCTCCCACCCCACAGGGGCTGAGGCTGGGGTGGGAGATCTCAGAGACCAGGCCTCTCTGCTTCAATTTCAGGCCTGAACAACGGTGACCTGGTGTTGAAGGATGTCTCCAGAGCGGATGATGGGCTGTATCAGTGCACAGTGGCCAACCAAGTGGGCTACAGCGTTTGTGTGGTGGAGGTGAAGGTCTCAGGTGGGTGCAGCAGCCCTGAGGGCCTGGTGGAGGGAGGGTTGGGGTGGCGGCACCTGGGCTCTAGTTTGGAGCCTCAGCCGGCTCTGCCTTTCCACTGCCATCGGTCTATAGGCCTCTGCCTAGAGCAGCCGAAAGCCCCGGGAAAAACACGCAGGCGCAAGGGGTTAACTTGCATTTCCTTTATATCCTCCCCTCTGGGTGTCCCAGGGCTTGAAGACCCCCCGAATCCCTCTCCCCTTTTCCCACGGACCTCTACCCTGGCACCTCCTGGTCAGGCAGGGACCTGCCAGGCTGGGAGAAAACTGACTGGCCTCCCCTTCTCTCCACAGACTCCCGGCGTGTAGGCATGATCATCGGCGCCGTGCTGGGCTCTTTGCTCGCGCTGGCTTGCCTGGCGTTGGGCATCTGGGGGCTCGTGTGCTGCTGCTGCGGGGGCGCTGGGGCCGGCGTCGCCCGCGGTGCCTTCGGCTACAGCAACAGCGGGGTCGGCGGAGGGGCCTGCGGCGACTTGGCTAATGAGATCAGGTAAAACCTGATGCATGCTGCATGCTGCTGTGCGGCAGGGGAGCGGCGCCCTGCCCGTCTCACCCCTGCCTGCCACCGGCCGGCTGGGCCCCCCACCCCAACCCTGCTCGCCATCGCCACGGAGTGCTGGGACCGCAGCATGTCGACCTGCCACCCGCCGCATGGCTTTTCTGTCTCTCCCGCTTCCCAGTCTTCACCTCTGCTCTCCTGCCCTCCGTTTCCCTCCTGCCTACGCACCTCTGTCCTGTCTAGACTGTAAGCTCCAGGAGGGCAGGGCCTATGTTTTTTCACGTTCCCCTGTATTGCGCCGGTAAGAACTCTGACAAGCTTATTTAAGAAGAAGCTAATAAGAATAGTGCTAATAACTTATATTAGAAGCAAACTAGAAATAAAAAATAGAACAGGACTAGCAGTGCTAATGATTGCAGGGCCTCGGGGATGGAGGGAAAGATGAAGATTGAAGGACAGGAGGTGAGAAGGGAAGGGGAGAGAGAGAGCAGGAGCGCGAGCCCGCGCCAGGCCGGGGTTAGTTAGGGACAGAAGGGAAGGGAAAGCGGCTGTTCCGGATCCCCAAGCTCCCTGCCTCTTAGAGGCGGTGGTTCTGCGGAACATCGGAAAGGGATTGGAGGGGCCGGGATGGGGCTGTCTGCTGCGGCTGTCGGGATACGTGTGGACCAGCCCGGTCCGGAGGATGGGCATGGCGGGCCCCGGGACAGCTGCGGGGGCGCCGGCCCAGGAAGGAGCAGAAAGGAGAGTAGGTCGATGCCGAGGGAAAGAGGTGAGGGCAGGAGGAGGGAGGCGCGGGAGACAAGAGGTTGCCAGGGGCCCCCGGCTCTGCCCAGGCCGTGCCCACGCCGCGCCGCGGAGGAGCCCGCTCACTCGTCCGCCTGTTGTTTTCCACAGAGAGGACGCCGTGGCGCCCGGGTGCAAGGCCAGCGGGCGCGGCAGCCGCGTCACCCACCTCCTGGGGTACCCGACGCAGAACGTCAGCCGCTCCCTGCGCCGCAAGTACGCGCCTCCGCCCTGCAGCGGCCCTGAGGACGTGGCCCTGGCGCCCTGCACCGCCGCCTGCACCGCCGCGGCCTGCGAAGCCGGCCCCTCCCAGGTCTACGTCAAGGTCAAGAGCGTGGAGCCGGCCGACTGCGCCCAGGGGCCGCTGCAGTGCAAGGACGGTCTCTTGGTGTGAGCGCGCGTGCTGCGCCGCGCCGGGCTGCGCCCTGGCCGGGAGGGGGGTGCGGGGCTCTCTGCCCGCAGCTGGGGACACGTTTGGGCTGGTGCCGACCTCGCTCGCCCCGGGCCGCCCGGCGGCTGGGGGGGTTGAAGGCATTTCCCTCGGGAAATACGTAGGGAGGCCAAGCCTCCTCCCCCAAAATGGGAATGGGTGGGCGCGGAACCTTCTCCGCACCCCCGAAGCCCGGAGGCTCGGGGATGAGGGAGGGAGGAGGAAGCGGAGTTAGTGTCCTAGAGCGGTTGAGGCCAGAGGCCGGGTGTCCCCAGCCAAAGCAGAGGGCCTCGGGGCCGGTGGGTAGGGGTGTGGAATGAATGGCTCAGTGTGTGAGAGCTGAGCTCTGAGGCAGCAGTGTTAGCACAATAAAGGAACTTTAAGACTTGAGACTGAGGTGGCTGTCCCTGTTGCACGACGCTGGGCATCGGTTGGAGGGCCCTGCTCCACTGGGGGGGAGGGGTTGCTCCTGTTACTCGCCGCAGCCCTGCACCGTCTCCAACCTTCCCCTCTTAGATCCCTGGCGGTCAGAGCCGGTACAGCCAATCCTACTCCTTTCAACAACCTACAAAGTGTAGAAAAAAGAAAAACAAATTAGCTTAGAATTTCTGTGAAAATAACATAAGGATATTTGAGGAACTGGCAAAGTGTAATAATACACCTGTCATTTCTAAGTCTTCAAAGTTTTCACGTCGAGCCAGGATTTGCTCTGGAGAATAATGTGCTCTGAAACTCTAGCGAGGCTTTGTATATTGTCAAAAGCTGAAAGGAGGCCTGGCGCGGTGGCTCACGCCTGTAATCCTAGCACTTTGGGAGGCGGAGGCGGGCGGATTGTTTGAGCTCAGGAGTTCGAAACCAGCCTGAGCAAGAGCGAGACGCCCGTCTCTACTAAAAAATAGAAAGAAATTAATTGGACAACTAAAAATATATAGAGAAATTAGCCGGGCATGGTGGCACATGCCTGTAGTCCCAGCTACTCGGGAGGCTGAGGCAGTAGGATTGCTTGAGCCCAGGAGTTTGAGGTTGCTGTGAGCTAGGCTGACGCCATGGCACTCTAGCCCAGGCAAAAGAGTGAGACTCTGTCTCAAAAAAAAAAAAAAAAAAAAAAGCTGAAAGGAAACTTGTCGTTGAATCACAGACGCACAGGCGCCTGGCAAGACAGAAACAAGGACATAAAAATAAGACCACCACCTCTTATATTAAAAAAGCACCAGAATTCTCGGGTTCTAAGTGATGTCCAGGAAGGAGGGGGAGTAACACTTAGGGAGCATGTATTATGGTTAGTATGGTAAGTCCCTTCATGTGGACTCAGTTGGTGTTTTAGGACAATTAGTTTTTTTTTTCAAGTTGTCAAGTTGATCGACTTTCACAGAGTCCATTACACAGTAGATGTTTAAGGAATACTAAGTGAATGAATGTGGTAGCACTACTCAATTTTTTATGTTAGAAAACAAGTTTTTAGATATTTTACAGTTACTTCCTTATAATGGAGTATCTGTGATTAAAATCTAGGCCTGTCTGATATCTGACTCCATACTCTCACACTCTGAAATAGCCATTCCTAGATAGGGGTCAGTTGAGTAGTTTAGAATCTACCAGCGCTTGTTTTGTTTAATACCTTGTCATGATATTTACAATGTATTTTTGAGGGTGTTTTAGTCATTTCTGGTAAAAAAAAAAGTGGAAATCAATAAGCGCTGTGAGTTAATAGGAGTGAGAAGTCTCTTATAAGTGAGATGGGAGTGCTTAATTAAAGAACAATGTTTGAGATAAAGTTGCAAGGGATATATTTATTAAGCGAACAAATTAAAAGGGGGAGTATTCTAGATGTACATGTTGATAAAGGGATGAGGGGCGGGTTGCAGACAAGAAGAAACAGTTCTACTAGTCTTTCCACATCCAACATCCTCTGTTGGTCACTGGAATACGCTTTGCTAATATGATGCCTTCTTGCCTATGAGTTAAGAATTTCTAATGTGGAATAGAAATGGTTAGTAAAAGAAACTTGGCTGGATTAATTTCCTTTGTTGAGCAAGATTAAACTTAAAAAGTCAATGAGGTCCATACTAAGTGCTGAAAATTCAAGAAGGAGCCTTGTAGTTCAACTGAGTATTTGATGAATGTGAATGATTTTGTATTTGAAGAGCTGATGAGGATAATACAGTGACCGAGAGGGGTAGGTATTTTTACATCTGAGTTGTTTGGACTGTTTTCCATCTTATATATAAGATATATTTTATGTTAGATCATTTGTGCTTTGGTAGCAAAAATAGAGTTGAAAGGATACAGTTCCTGAAATCAGTAATTTCATGTCTACAAGGAGATATGGATCAGGAAAAGAACCGTGGGTTCTCTTATTTCCATGATAAAATTTGGATTGTGTCACCATTCCACTTTGGTTCCTTGTACGAGGGATGTTAGAACTTAGCGTGGATCTCCTTCAGAATCCTTTTGTTGGACTTCTGCCTTGATTTTATTTGGCCTTCCTCCTTGATTCTTCCATACTGTTTGTTTACACTTAACTCTGGAATATTTTGGCGGATGTTTTCAATGTACTCTAGGTCCTTCAATTGGTTTAAATGAATTATTGGGGAAAATTGCAAGTTGATATTATATCTGTCTGTGGTGACATTGGAATATTTCCATTTTAATACATTGGACAATTTGTGGAAATATAAGATATTATATTTAGTTCTATGAATTCCAAGATCTCAATATTATTGTTCTGGTAGATTTCTGGGTGTGTGTGTGTATGTGTGTATGTGTGTGTCTTTGATTTTTTTCCTTCATATTTTCCTCTTGACTCTGTGTCAGTTGAATGATATTGTTGCTGTTTCACATTTATTGTCACACAAAGTTGATTCTTCATTCTCCCAGGACAGAGGATGGTCCATGGGTAGAGAAATGCTGTCTTCAGGTGTTAATCCTTTTATATAGTTGTACTAGTTGCTGGGAAGGACCTTGGCTGGATTTATGGTGAGCTGTGTTTACTGAGCATAATGAAGCGAAGCTCAAAATGATTACTCTGCAGTCCAGCTTAAAAAAAATCTTACTCCTTCACTATACAGATGGGGAAATTGAGACCCACTCCCCCAGGCTGGACTTTAAATCCCAAATCCTACATTTCCTTTTCCATTGTAGATCAGAGGAGAGGAAACAGGGGGCTGTCAGGGATGGCCTCTAAATGTTCCTTAATTTTCTCAGTATCCTTCTTTCTCGTCCTCTCATCTACCTAATCCTGACTTCTTTCTCTCTCCCAGATGTATGCCTTCCTTCTCCACAGCAAAAGAGGGTTTCAGAGGCATACTCCCGGGCAGTAAAAAGACCTTCAGGGCCATCTAACCCAGTCCCCCCTTTTGCTGGGAAGGGGATTGGCATTTACTAAGCACTCACTAAGTGCTATATGCTTTTTGATATTTTGTCTTACTTATTCCCTACTTTAATCCTATGAGATTGTGCATTAAGACCATTGTACAGATGAAGAAACTGAGGCTCAGAGGGATTAGGGATTAGGTATCTTGACCAATACCACAAAGGTAATAATGCAAGATTCAATCTAGGCATGTTTGACTCCAGGACATCAGGCTCTTTCTGTGATATTTGAATTCCTTCTACAACATTCCTGACAAAGGATATTCCAACCTCTTCTTGAATACCTCCAGTGGCAGCTCACTACCCCCCAAAGCAGGCCATTTGGCCTCTGACTGTCAATATTAAATAGAATATTTCTTCTCTTGGACCCAGTTTTTGTTATCATATAACTTTTTTTTCCTCTCATATAGCTTTTATCCCTTGGTCCAAGTTCTACTTTAGGGAGCCCAGAGCATCACATTTCCAATTCAGCTGCTTCTAGTGGACCAAGTGGTTGTACTCCATACAGGATGGCTGCAACAGGCACACACTGAACACTTGTCTGGTCTAGGGGTGGGGCGGGTCTTCAGAAGAGCATAGTGCTTCAAGGTCACAAGTTCTACCTGCCTCTCCGCAGCCATTTGCTTGTTGGGAGCCCAGACTCTTTCTTCTGTGTTTGTCTCTTCTCTCCTAAGGAGAAGTTCATCTTTCTAATTATTCCTGCTCCTACCCCAGGGCCACATGAAGTACAGGGTATGCATGGGCTTCAGAGTATCTGGGTTTAGGAAGCCGTGAACCCTACTTGGTAATATATATCTAGGAAACTCTTGAGATGACTTGGGTATTTGCAAAGGGGTAATGGCATTGCCAGCTCTGCCTTCATAGAGCTTGGGAGGAGAGATGATAATGAGACAAAGGGAAACAGAGACAAATGACTTGGGGGCTGGGGAGGTGGAGGGGTTCTTGGGGATGGGCAGAGATATAGGGAAAGGGGATTAAATAGGGAGGGCAGCATGATCTCTAGGACCCATCCATCCCTTCATTCACCTGGTGACATTTATGAGCACCTATAAGATGACTTGTTCATAGATAGCTAGATCTTCAGCAGGGCGTTGTGCCTAGCACACTTGTGCCCAAAGGCAGGGAACTGAATAGGATGACTCGGGGAGGGCGCTCCCAGTCTGTGGAGCCTCCAGCTCAGCCTCTGCAAGGTGGTGAGAGACAAGAGGCAGCGAGCTGGCTGTGTAGGTTGTGTTGAATGATATCATCTTCCCCATTCCGGGAACCAGGAAGCCATGGCTGAGACAGCTGCCTTTGGGAACACTGAGGCTCTGGCAAAAAAAGCTCATTAAAAAGCAGCAAGAGAGATTTCAGAGGGACTCTGAGAATAATTTCCTGTTAGGGTGAGTCAACAGGGAAGCCAAGGAAGTCCTAAATCCAAGGCTGAGATCACCGTCATCACTGTACTTACCATCCCAGAGTGACAAGGGAGGGAAGTTTCTGCTTCAGTGATTTTGCTTCAGGGACACCTTGGCCTTTTTTCTTCATTTCTCCTGCATGAACCTTGTTCAGTGCTGGAAGAGGACACTTGTAGTGATAAATGTTTGATAGTGGCTTTGGGAGTAGAGTGGGGGCAGAGAAGCTCTGATTTGTAGCATTTGCCAATTTCCACAATGTTAATACGCTGACTATGGCTGATCCCAGCCTACCAACACAATATCATGGGCACAAGTTGGGAGAAATGTTCTGCAGCATGCCATATATAGTATTTCTACAACAAAGACACAACAGAAGAAGTAAATAACCGTAAGAGCTTAGATGATAGTGAGCTGTAGTAAAATAATCAGGAAGTGGTGAGTTTTGAGCATCATCTTTGTTTTAATATAATTTATTTAATTGCAAGTTTATATAATTTACTTTCTAATAATGGCTGCATTTAACAACTGGCTTGCAACATTGGGCAGATCGTGTCACCAGGCAAAGAGAAGGCTGGGCACACAAGTGCTGCCTCAAGGGTGGGAATCTCAAGTACAGTCCTG